AATGAGAATTATAAAGACAGAAGCAAAAGAACATATATAAAAATATGACAAATTAATTTAAGCCAGCCATTCACCAACAGTAACTGAATACATAAAAACGTCACGTTTTTTTTAATTAACGAAGCGGTAAAATAGTAACACTATATACATATTTTCCATTTACGCAAGGAAAACAATCTTCTAACGTTGTTAAGTGAACCAACCGCGACCTCCGATAAAATTATTTGACCAATCATAATAGCTGTAACCTACTTTGACAACTAAATGTCATTTAATGAGAACGAACGAACTAATGCAACAACTTCTGATGCACAACAAGTTAGTAAATGCATACACTTTGTTTGCTTTGTCATTTGAAGTGAATACATGTTTTTATGAATAATTTGTAATTTGAAGTGGATTTTAATCGTTAATAAACTAATTCCTCGGGTTAGAGGAATGATGTCCTTTACGAGATGAGAGGTATGTAATACATTCATTTCTAAACTTAGTTGACGGTTAATAGTAAAATTTACTTTTCGAGGTTTAGAAGTATCCTTAATATGAAGCCAATTAGTATTAAACTTTTACTTCATCAATTCAGATCTAATACTTATAAAGTGAAACTTCACAGACCTTCAATGTCTATTTCTGCAACCCTGAGTCATCATTCAAGTTCCAGGTTTTATTCTGTTATTTTCAATGCAGACTGTGAAATAGTACATAAACTATCCTGTTGAAAAGCCCTTGAATAGTGTAGTACATACTCAATGTTTATCAGTCATAGATGATTAATTTACATTATTTTAAATATAGCAAAACATATAAAAATAACCTTTACCAAAATCCAATCAAAACATACAAATGCATTTGAAAAAATAATAGGTGAATCTTTTTATATCATTAAGAAATAGTTAATCAGGTAAATGGGTTTTATCTGAGTAGTAAACAAATTCTGAATTTATGATAACTTATTATTAAGGCAAAAGAACTAAATCATCTTATCAAAAGCTTATCTTATATGACAAAGATTAAGAAACATCCTGACTCTTTATTTGTTAAAACTGCAAAACTCTAAATAATAACTAGCACAACACAGTAGAAGTTTATAATTTAGTTTGACAATACAAATCAGTTGACCTACAGCTACAGCACTTCTCATAAATGTTCTTTTTTATATTAAATAGACACAAAACAATTCTTGTTACAACAAGTTAGGTCTTGTAGATAAAAATGCCTACCCTGCAACAATGAATGAATTATCTACAAAAGAATTGCACTTTTAAGTCATTGCTCTTTAGATTATAAGAAATATGTGAGTATATATTTTTGTAAGTGATAAGATTACTGATAATTTTGTTTTCTTTATATAAAACAATTGTGTTGTGAATTAATCATAATTTATATTTTATGGTTGATGTGATTAAGAAATAGTCATTTTTCAAAGATTTGATTTCTGCTTGCAATTGAAAAACTTATGGTATACTGATTGCTAATACTGATTAGCTGAAGTCATTATTTTTCAAATTCCATAAATGTGTCAGAATTTTTTTTTTTGCAAACCTACTGCATAAAAAAGATTTTTTCCCTCCAAAATCAAAACAAATTGCTAGATGATTTTTCCTGAATTCAACAAATATTTGTAAATTTCAAATTATAACAACCAATTTAAAAGCTTATAATATCAGAGATACATAAGTAGCATAATTTTATTAGCATCATATGCACCCCAATATATTTTTGTAGCCCAGCCAAACTGTATTCTGATCTAGACAATATTATATATTAGTTAGATTATATGTGACTAGGCTACCTACAAGAATGTTGCAATGCAATTTTCAACCTTATTTATATCATTAATCATTACATTAATAATGGTATTTACTTGAGTATTATCATTAAATAATTTTGCACACATACATCATTCTCCATACCTCTGTAAACCTACATTTTATATAACAGTCAGTAACTTATTACAATTATTAGGTAGGTGCCAAAATGTGTACCCTGTCCTATTTATCAATAAGTCAATGCAATGTTCTTAATTGCAACACCTGTTAGTAATGTTATATAATATTGTACCCAATGTGTTATCAAATGTACCACATCCTGTTAAACATTTATTTAAATTTGTAATGCTTCTAATGGATAAGATAAGGGTGGCCTTGACATAGTTAATATACATCTTCTTGTTAATTTTCTCATGAGTCATTAGGCTTTGTATCACACATATAAAGCCTGATGACCTATTGAGCTAACTTTTACATTTTGTACCTTTTTTTATAGTATAAGGCTGCAGACTGGTTTTTCCACATAACTAAATTAAAAACCTGCATTCTTTTAGTTGTCCGTATATCACCGCTGGTTTTCTCTGACTCAACTAGACCGATCGCATTGAAATTTAAGACCATATAGGTATATATATGACCAATGCCTCATTTGGGACCAAATATACCAACATTACAGTTGTATTTTTTTATTGTACGGAAAACTCTTTACGCACCTATCCGGCGAATTGCGATCGCTAAAAACCCCTTGCGTAGGGTATATATAATTATAAATAGTAGGACTCACTCTTTGGAGACTCGAGAAATTGTACCTAAGTCTGACGACCTTACAGAAGTTCCAATATGGGTCAATTTGTTGACAGTAATGTTAACAAAGTTATATAAGAGGTGCATAGTTAAAATACTATAAAACAGGTTCCTACAAAAATAATTCTTCTCTATCTATTAATTAGCTCACCCGTACAGCTTCTGTACTCGTCTCGTTAAGATCTGAACACAAAACGACTAAACAGATATCGTCCAATGGAATAAAGTGGAGAAAAAAGGAATTCTATTGGTAAATTATGTGGACCCCCATTTCAATAGATACAATCCACCATTGTGGGCACGATGGGTATGCTCACACCTTAATAGACTTGTAACATCACATTTTCATGATCCATTGGGAACGATTGATCACATGGAACTAAATATTGTAGGATTATACAAAATTTTGATCTTGATTTCATATTTTATATGAATGTATGTTGTTTTATGAGCAAGTTCATATAACAAGTCACACTCTCAGGCATTTTAGGGCCCACAAAATTTGTAACAACTTCTAAACTTAGCCTATGTTCAGATAAGAGCCATATACCTGCCTGCTGTTTTTTTTTCTTTTAGTTATTATTGGTAACCATTTCAGGCACATTATTATTGGTTACCATTTGGTTTCGCCAGAATCAATTGCTTTGCCTTTTCAGAATTTTTTAGATGTGTGTAAAAATATCAGGTTTAAATTGGTTTGGGGACATCTGAATAGGGGTTTTTGCACAATTATGAATGTACATAACAGTTTATCAATATTAAAATTATGCAAGAAAAATAAAACAATTGGCAATCCTTGTTTCGCAAATAATCTTGATAATGATCAGTAATTTAATCATATACAGTCAGCTTAAAATAATATGTGTATGTCAAATAAACAGTCTATCCCCAAAATAACTACTTGATCAGAAAGATTCAGGATTGGTCAGCAAGAAATATTTGTCCGGTTAGCAGTTTATTTGATCGGTTTGCGTATTTAAAGCATGGTTAGAAGAATAACTAATTGGTTTGCATTTTTATTGAAAAGTCTGCAATGTACGTTAAAAGTGGGCAGAGCAAGAGTAGTCGCATGATACTAGTAGCCAATCGCGTGCGTGTATTGTCATTCGGTGTCTATGCGGCGATTAGTAGCTGTCAAATTACAGTGATACAACTTGTTTTATGTTAATTAGTGTGAATTTTGATATTTTGCGAGTGTTATATGAGTACTGTAGGTAGCAGCCGGGACCGACGGCTTAACGTGCCCTCCGAAGCACGGAATCATCTTACTTTCGGACAATCAGGTGATTCAGGCCTGCAATGTCCTAACCAAACTGGGAAAAACTCACAAAGAAATATTTGAGAGTGTCCCCACCGGGAATCGAACCCAGTACCTTCGGATCGAGAGCCTAACGCTCTAACCACTAGGACACGGAGGCAGTTAATTTAATTAGTTAGTTTACTCTAAATACCCATTCATTATTTTTGTAAGGAATGCGCCCATTTTGCGCCAGTCATTATTGCTATTTTTATATGCTTCACAAAATTTGATTAGTTGCTTCCCTCTAAGTGCTGTTCAAAATTGTATTTAACATGCGTCACTCATTGCAGCTTATATGATTATTATGCTAATAAAAAATAATTACAGCCGTCCAGAATGTAAAAAATTGTCGATTGATTTGATATTGTTTGCTAGCCATGGTCTGCTGACCAATCATATATTTCAACTGACAGAATACATTTTTCTGCTAGCAAAAATGTGAATACCATAGTGTGAGATATTTTGCATCTCACAATAAATACCTTCACGTATATTTGTTGTAAGGTGTATTTCTATTTTTCGGCCATAAACAGATTTTCTGTCAATGGTATCGATAATGACCTTGGCCGTGATACGGTCAACGACATAACAATATTCTAAGTATTTTGGATGTGTTTGTGTGTTGATTACGTAGGTGGCAATCATTTTTATGGTCGCGCTATTCGTTGATAGCTCAGTTCGGATTCATCTTTAAACATTTGCACTACTGTTTTAGTGATAACTAATAGGGTATTTAAATCCCTCGTTTGAACTGTTCTAAGTTTTTAATCTTCTAATATATCTGTGCCTCTAAGCAAAACCTTCCGGTACTTGTGTCAAATACTATTTCCAAGGTAATTGTAAGACGTTTTTTTGAAGTCTAATAACTATTGTTCTCAAAATTATTATACGGGGAATATGATTGTATGCCGATGTATGTATAATAGTTGGTTTTCAAGAAAATTTCCATATAATGTCCTCCAACCTTTGTCGCTTAGCGAATATTCATTATTCATTATTAATGTTTATCTCTCCATTCGTTGGTTGCATGGAAGAAATCACTTTAAGCAATGAGGCCTCCAATTGTGACATAATAGTGTTAATTAATTTTGATGTATCTTGTTACAGATGAACCGTAGGTCTCTAAGATGGACAATAACAAAAGGCTGCTTTTGCAGCACTATCAACCTAAAATTATCAAAGATCTAGAAGTGGAGTTCATAATCGACGAACTTTTTTCGAAGCATGCAGTCACAGCTGATGAAATCGAAGAGCTATGTAAAAGGGTAAGATCGTATTTAGCTGGTTGCGCGCAATGATTAGTTTATGTGACGAAATAAAAAATAATGTTGTAAAACAAAACATGTACGCGAAATATCGTAAAGTTATTCTTACACACCGATATGAAATGGGATTTAATTAATTTTGTGGATTTTTCGCATGGGCCGTTGCATCTTGTTTTTTATTGTAGAAGAATGTGTTATACACTGTCTCTACCGCTGTGGATGTGTGCTGTGTGCTCTGCATAACCAGGGACCCGCCCGAAGGCTAGTCTAAACGCAAGTTGCATCCTTAGTGTCTGTGCAAATATGACAAGATGATTTCAAGCGGAACAACTGGATTTTGTGGACTACGCTCGATAGACTGACGAATAATCCATCGATTGTAGAAAGTTGAATGTCATATGCTAGCTTTCCGCTAGCAGCTTTGCCCGCGTGGATAACAGGGACGCCCCTGTTGCCGCCGTATCAGCCTTATTATTGATACAACTATGATTTTACGGATAAAATTTATGCTTACACACGTTACAGCCCCGTTTGAGCCCCTAAAATTTTGATACAGGGCCCCCTCCAAGGCACGCTACGCCACTGGTGGATAACATATTTTTCCTACATACAAATTTTCAATACCCTATTTTACACAATTAAGGGTAGAATTTCCAGAATCACTGAAATTGGTGTTTGCACATTTTGATCAATAATACAAAAATAGATTCATGTTTCTAACTTAAAAAAGACTGACTTTAATACATAATTTCAACTATTAGACGATGACTCAGTGAATCAGAACAAGCTCTTAAATAAGTATGAATTCGTCGAAATATCTGACGGACGTCCCTCTACGAACGATACGAGACGGACCTTCCGTTAAATACTTAAATATGCACCGACCCTGTAACTAAGCCATTGCGTCCTTGCAAAATATTAATATGCACTCTTAACTAATGTGAATATAGATGATCTCATCACCAGCGTATTAATTTACCCAGTGCTGGGGCTCGAGATAATAAATTTTTGGTCACCCATCCTATGACCGGCCATTGTGAAAGTTGCTTAACTACCATATCGCAGACCGAGCTCGCTAACCACTGCGCAATCGAGCTCATATAGATGATGTATTGGTATCAAAATAGCTCTACAACCTTAATCAGCTTATTAAAACCAGTGATCATTAGCTAATTAGCCTATTGCTAATTAGCTAGGTGATAAGTCAGCTGTATGAGTAATAGTCCATCAATTATTTGAGTTGCGATATCGTTTTTAACCTTGGTCGTCTAAAAATTGTATTTGCAATATACTTTTTGCTATTTTGCTTCAGCAATTTCGTCTTTGCCAATTATTGCTAAGTGTTATTTATATCGAATAAAACGCTAATGGGTTAAAATACGTTACTGGCATTAAACAAAGCATAATATGCTTACATAAAATTTGTAACAACTTCGCTATTTGCAAGATGTTTTACAGATATTTTCAAAAATCACTAACATCCGGAAACATGATCCTTTCCCTTTGTGATAAATATTGAAATGAAATGAAAATATATTTCTTCAATTCTTCAAAATATATTACAAGCACTTTTGAATCGTCCAAAAAAATTTTTTTCCCCTACCACTTGTTCAGGATGTCTTTTAGCTGACAATAAGAACAAGCGAAAGAAACTTACAAGCTCTTTATCATAAGTAATGACATTTACAAAATCATGTCCTTACCAAAATTATATGTATTATCACAATAATAAACACAACTTTCAAAGTCTGTAGGTCTTCTACAAACTAGTACATATAATTAGACGTTATAGAATAAAGCGAAGGCTATTAATTCCATGTATTGCGGTCCTTACAATAATCATCAACTTTATAAAATAGCCTTTACTCATAAGTATGTTCTTTACATGAATTTTAAACTTATTAATGGGTAGGTCAATTACATTTTGTGGAACTTTATTTAACATAGCTATGCATTTACCCAGAAATGACCCTCTGGTTTTCTGAAGTCTGATGCTTGGAACGGCAAGTTTATTTTTATTTCTTGTGTTAAGATTATAAACACTACTTTTTTTTGTGAAGGAATCGTAATGTTTTCTTGCGTACATAATATTTTCATAGATGTATTGAGAGGCAACAGTCAAAATATTTATTTCTTTAAATATTTCTCTGAGAGATTCTCTAGACCGTAAATTATATATAGCGCGGACAGCTCTCTTTTGTAAAATAAAAATATCTTGAATGCTAGCCACAGAACCCTACAACAATGGACTATAAGTCATTACACTATGAAAATAACTAAAATATCTTCCCGTTTCAACATTAGTCAAGAGTCTAATTTTCTTAACAGCAAATGCTGCAGAACTCAGTCTACTTGACAAGTTAATAATATGAGGATCCCATTGCAGTCGGGAATTTAGTGTAATACCAAGGAACTTTGTCGATTCCACCAACTCAACTTTTTCACTATTTACATTTATAAGTGTACTAACAGCCTCACATTAGGTAATGCAAACTTTATGCATTTCGTTTTATTTGAATTAAGCTTTAAATTATAACTATCAAACCACTGTAGAACTTTGTGGAGAGCATCATTTACATCGTCAAAACAATCATTACCCCTCTTAACTTTAAACACTAAAAAGGTGTCATCAGCAAATAATACTGTCTCACACAAATTCTTCGGTCCACAACCATTATATCATAAAGTCAATCATGTAAACAAGCTTTCTTTATATCTAACATAATGTCTTCTCTTTAGACCACCCGCACAGATCGCGCTCGGTACCTCATTGATTTGCTTCTACAGAGTGGCACCAATGCCTCGTATGAAGCTTTCGTTGACAGCCTAGCTAAGAACTATAACTGGCTTTGGAGCAAGCTATCAGTGGACAACAACGAACCCGTCATGAATGAGAGCTTTGAAGACAGCCTTAGCAGAGGCAACGTGCCGCGGTTGCCCGATCATTATGTCAAAAGAACAGATTTGGTAAGTTTTCTACTATTATGTACGTATAAAGTCCCTGCCTTCATACTCTTCCTCCATACTGTGCATGCTTACCACTGTTTTTGTAATCATTTGACTTGCAACGTGTGAGTATACCATCTAATCGTAGTCTTTCGATGTGTAACATGAATTTTTCTCCATAGGAATCAAAAGTAACTCAGAAATTGATGCAGCTCACACGCCACAAAATTCTTGTTTTACATGGCATGTCCGGATCTGGCAAGACCTCTTTAGTTATCAGCGTTCTCCGGCACAACTCGGATCTGATCAATAACAACTTTAATGGCTCTGTTTTCTGGTTTAACTTGAGCAACTGCAAAACTGAGGATGATATTGTGACACAGCAAAACTTGTAAGTAAGAACGATAAGTTATGAAGGCAATCTTAAATTTATATGCTAATGTGGTCTTACTATACTTTAGTAATTAAAGACTAACTTTGTCTAGTTAGTATTCTTGGGAATGTAAAAACAAGCGAAACAAACGAATGATGACATATTACGTGAGTCGAAAGTAAATTATTCGTATAGAAACGAAACAGAAATCTGTGGACGCTCACATCTATCTATTCTATCTATATATATATAAAAATGAATCGCAAAATGTGTTGGTAAGCGCATAACTCAACAACGCCTCGACCAATTTGGCCAAATCTTTTTTTAAAATGTTCGTTGAAGTTCAAGGATGGTTTTTGCGAGAAAAATTAGAATTATTGCTGGAAAAACCCTAAAAATAGCCCTTTTCTTTTTCCCATACAAATGATTTGTAACTAAAACGTAGTCAATTTGAGCTTTATTGCTATGGTATAAAGTTCATATTAAATTACAAGCACTCACTGTTGTCTAAGCAATGTAGGTGTGTTCCTAACGTCAAAGATCATATCTATCAAAACAATGTGCGTGTGTGCGTTGGAGCACAGAATACATAGTTGGAGGAGTTTAATGTCGCGTTCCGAAACTCGCGTTTCTTTTGTATTAGTTTCGGCACGCGAGATAAAATGCATCAGTTTCCACGTCATTACATGTATTGCCGGAACATTGATGAAAATACGCTCTGTAGTAGCAAAGCTGTTGGGTCCTAGATAGCTCATTGGTTAGAGCAGTCCCTGGATCGCGAATGGATTCGAGTCCCATTCTGGGGTACAGGTAGATGGATTCTTCCAGCATTTTTCCTTGAGAATGTTTATATATTTTTTTAATTCGAATAGTTTACTTTTATAATGCTGTTGTGTGTAATGTGTTTTTATGATCATAAAAATCTCTTTTTTCTATATTTAATACTATTACTATTAATACATTGCAATAATAATTATGATTCACATGATTAACATAAAGCGATTACTTACTTTTAAATCCTTATATATGTTTTATTTAATTATTTTTTTTTCACAACGCCCTATCACCAGGGTGACGGTTCTGTTCAGGAGAATTTTTTTAAATACGTAGGCAAAAAAACTGCCACATTACAAATCTTTTTGACAGGACGAAGTCTGTCGGGTCAGCTAGTAATAAATACTATTGTCATTGTCCGTTCCCAACCCAAGAAATATACTATAAAGTAAGTTAAACGATAGGTTCAATTCTGACCTACCTAAGCAATAAATGTGATGTCTAATGGTTATGATATTATACTTATAAAAGCATTCATTAATAACATAAACAGGACCTAATAGGACTGACGAATCTTTCAAGCGCTTGCTACTTTTTCCCTACTATAGAGCGTATTTTACATCAATGTTCACATATTTTACATCAATGGCAATCCACTCAAACAGCCGAAAAAAAATATTTTTACGAATATTTTAAACTCTCGATAAAGATGAGATTAAGATTACCTTTCGCAATTGCGAAAGGTAATGGGTTCAAATCCCATCTCAGAGTACCAAGGACAAAGTAGATTTTTAATCATTTTTCATTAAGAATATAAACAATATTCTCTAAGTATGCATAGAAACTCATGTTTACTGTAGCTTTGGCCATAGTTTTTAAACTCCTTTTACATTGATTTATTTATATTTTCTTCGTTAGTTCATACCTTTTATTGCTTTAACAGATTGTATCGAAAAGCTTCATCGATATATACGCGTAACTCTCATATGAATTCCACTATGTCGATGTCGAGTTTTGGTTCTAATCTCGATGCCCATTCGTTGTCGAGTTACGAGTGGAAGTGGCAAGATCTCCGGGATAGATTGATTTCTCAGTTCTCCGAGCCAGTGCTACGAGACGCGTTACTTGTGCTTGATGAAGTGAACGAGAAACTATGCGTGGAAGCATTCGATATCGGTTGCAAGATTTTGATAACTACTAGGGATTCTGAGGTGGTTGCCAACCTGCAACCGCATATTATAGAAGTAAGTGTCACTATTTTATTAATCTAAAGTAGCTCATTCGAACTTTGCCAATGTTTTACAGACTCACACAAACCCTTTTCAATTCCCCCTTTTTGTAAATAAATGAAACACACAGTGCCGCCCCAGCCGCTGTTGTTGTCCTTGTTTGACCGGCTCTTTACTATTTATCACTTGACTGTTTTGGGAAAAATATTTTAAAACATATGATCATGTTAAACCTCTATAAGATCTATTTTGTAGTAGTTAACATATATTTAGTTATTTAAATTGTACCGCAATATTATTCACGTAAAATTTCGAGCCGTGACATTACATTTCAATAGACTGAAGTACAGGTTGCACTCGCAACAAAGACGTTGGCATTTAGTTTATTAAAATGTGACGTCATACGATCCTCCGTCATTGCCTCCCGCGTTTCGGTCCTTTCAATCCACGTATCACAAATTGTATTAAAACAAGAAATACCGCACTTTTTGTTTACATATAAGTTACTATTTCCAACTTTCTTCATAATTTGTCCAATCTTATACATTTTCCTAACAAGCCATTATTGTGTAACTTAACTAGCCATTAAGGTAAAAGCATGCCTATTATGTAATATCACATTAGATTAGTAATCTGGCTACAATTAGTTTCATATGAGATTGAAGTAAATTGTTTATTAATTATTCCTATTTCATATCATATCAAATTTTCTGATTGCTTTCTAGATTGAAAATAGTCTAGATGAGAAAGAGACCTTGAAATTATTGGCGTCGTATCTAGACGTAGAAGTGCGACAGTTACCTGAGCAAGCAAAGAAGTTCCATCACGCTTGCAAAGGCAGTCCATTCAACTTATCATTGATTGGTGCTCAGTTAGCGGAAAGTAAGGAGAAACTTTTGCATGACAATAAACACTGGAACTCTTTTTTAAAGAAGCTGGAGAAGAAAGATTTCCTTAAGTGAGTCTTCTATTTAATTTATTATCATTGCCTTTTTGGACAGTTATTCGCAATCACAGTTTTGTTGACTTAAAACCTTAATCTAACATAATTAAAATATGTATTTCATCGACTTAGTTAGCCCTCATCTTTTCTAAACATGAATTTTATGCTAAATGATTCTACTAATAAAAATTATAGTGCTATAAATACCCTTTTCTGTTCATGTTAACAAAAAAAGAAAATTATTAAATGAGATCTATCCAACGGTAGAGAGTGTGAAGAAATTTTTTATTGGTGATTTATAACCCGTTTATTGGAAAGGAACACAATAAATCAAACATCCATTTTGATAGATTGAGTAAAGGTGGAAAATTATCTTGCAGTGTCTGTCGTATTTCTAATTTGATAAAGAGAAAAATGTGACTTAATATGTTGTTTAGATAATACACATCAGATTGCGCCAAACATTTTTTGTTATAACCAATAGTTTTGTTTTCATCATATTTCATCTCACTTTTTTGTCGTCTCACACAATTTCACAGATACTGGAAATCAAATTACAATCCAATGAAAACTATTGAAGTTTGCGTCATATCTCTAACGGCGGACATTTTGTCACTTTTCAAGATGCTCGCTATATTACCCGCAGACAACGTGAAAGTATCCGCTAGAGTTCTCAGCAAACTGTGGAACAAGGAGGTTAGCGACGTAGAAAGTATAATGAAGAAATTGCGCAGTAAATCATTGATTATTGAAACATACGATCATGAACAGAGGAACTACATATACGAAGTGCACGATCTCATTATGAACTATTTAAGATCACAAGTGCCGGAGGAGGAACAGAGAAGGCTGCACAGCAATTTTCTGAAAAGTTACCACTACGACAATAACAACCCACCTCTTGAAATTATCGATGACGGCTACATAGCCTTTTATGTGGGTTACCATATCCTTAGCACAATCAACTTGAACGATAGATGGAAACTCTTCAACAAGTTGTATTTGGATCTTAAGTTTATTGGTAACAAAGTGAGGCTTACTGGACCCGCTGATGTTATATTGGATCTACAGAAATATGAAAACTACATTGTGAAAGATGTAAGTTTTTTTATAGGATTATCAATCTGTATTTGACAGAAGCTGTCACTTCCTTATACACATCAGATTAAAGTGTATTTCAGATTGTCAAACAAAATTTATTAAGTTGATTTGGCGATCGCATATTTTCATTGATGTTTTTATTGTACTATAATGACCCTTCGATGAATAAGTTTACATTAAAACTAATATATATAGTACTCCTCATAAATATTCTTTGTGAATTGTAGTGTAGTCTTGTCATTTATTTTATTTCTATATAAATGTTTTAGGACCTCGATTTTGATCTCCTAAATAGAATAAAAGCTTACCTCAGTACCCACGGCATTGACCTATACCGTTATCCTTATACGGATATTGTTCAAAGTATACTTCAGCACGAATCCCAAGGCTTGCTGTATACGAAAGCATCGGAAATCGCTCAAAAGAATTGCTCAAAAAATGAACTGTACTTCGAATTTACGTAAGTATTGAAGTCCAGAGATATATTTCATACTATAAGTACCATAACAATTAATAATATTATTTTCTTTTAGACACGAACAAGACGTAGAAGAAGTAAGACATTCCACTGTAGATGTTAAGGAAATGATTACATCTGTTTGTTTTCTCGGTGACTATGTGCTAGCTGGTACTGTAACTGGTGTTATAAAGGTAATTTTGAATTAAAACCCTATGCTGCTCGTATAATGTCCACTTATTAGTGGTTATATTTTTAACTAACCATCGACTGGTTTAATTTTGCGTTAAATTCGGGTCAATCAAATCTTAACACTATGTTTTTGAACAGAAATCTAGTATTATTTGTTAGTATGATACAAATCTTTTTATCTCAAGCGTATGCTTAATTTTGCTTCTTTAATAATTCTCTTTGATCGAAAGCCTAAAAATTCTCTTACAACTCGACTACCTATAACGTTTTATATAAAAACTAGCTATAGGTACAGAGAAAGCGACTTGTTTTATACTATGTAATGAAGCGTCCTAAAAACATTCAGGGATAATGCCGAATCTCTAAAAACCAAACAATACATGTGATACTTGTGAAAACTCTCGATTGCAATTCCATTCTGAACCCTTAAGTCACAGCGTCGAAGATCAGATGAAATTACCACAAGTGTGGGATAATTTGACAGACATTTTGTCGTCCATATCAAGTAAATTAAAATATTTGTAAACTCTTTTGATTCGTCCATCATTTTTTACTTCCCAACCATTCAATTTACACTGACAAGAAGAATGGGGCGCAATATACTTTGCCAGCTCTCTAAATCAGAAAATTTACTATAGCACGTTAAAATATAGCTATACCCGTTGAACAAACGGACGAGCAAAATAATAAAAAGGAACCCTAATAAATTGCTAATATTGCGTTAACAGATTATAAGTAGTTCCAACTTGAGTCTCACGATTAACTCCTTTCAGTTCTTCCACATCCCTACGAATAAGCTCAAAAAAGAGGTATCCGGAACAGGTACTTCAATAAAATGGATTGGAGCATGTCCCAATCATCCGCCTCAAGTGGCCGCGCTCACTAACGACGGATCTATCATACTATGGTACATTGATGGGTTGGAACATGACGAAACGGACGATATCATCGAAGAAGGTCTGATATTATTTGATTCTCTTTAGTTTCACTTCTACCTAAAAGTTAGTAACATGGATATCCTTGAGATCCCGAGTCAGTAAATATATTATAATGATAATATAATGTGTTTTCTTTTGAATATTAAATAAACTAAATCAATTTATTTGCTTTAATGAGCATTTAATTTCTAAATAAAGATTTTGGAAATCTGAAGTATATCCATATTAATATATACAATTCATTCCGTATTAATAAATCAATTGGTATTTTTTCATACTAATAGCGCAGTAAATAATATTGTCATTAACTTTTTATTGAATTTAATCAATATTTTTAGAATCTGAAGAACTATGTAACAATAATTATCCAAGCAACTACACTATTGCACCAAAAATGGGTGCATTCATCAACTGCCGATGGTCTAACAATGAGGAAACTTTGATAACTCACACAACAAAGATGATAATTATATACAATTATGATGGAAAAGTATTAAAGGTTTTCGATAATTTTGATAAAGAACAAGATATACTGTACGCTATTCCGTGCAATAACGATAGATATATAATAGCGGCTGTAGTGAACAACGGAAATAACAGTCTAATAATTATAGATAAGATTAGCAAAGAGAAAATCATGTGTCTTGATGAGACTGACACTGTGCTGAATATTTTGACTGTTCCTGGTGAGTTAACTTCAAGATTTAATTGTTTATCTGATTTTAGCGTTAAGGTCGAGTTTTGCATGGATTTTTAATTACCGATGTATAATCAACAGCATGTTGGGTTATAGTTAACTGTCAAATTTCTCCACTTGATTTTAAACCTTAATGTATCCGAGACAGTATACAGTAAAGTTAAAAATTATTGACAATTATGCTAACCTGACGTACTCTTCCTGTTTTTTTTATTATAAAAACAATGATAAGTGTATATTTCTGTGACCAAAACAATCATTAAGTTCGTTTTTTATATTACCCACCCAAAATCGGAATCATAACTTTAGATATCGCGACATAACTCGAGTCTGTGACAGAGGAAGAGATAGAGAAAACGGTTATTTTCAGCGCCATGCAAAATCATATCAATATAAGTAGGGAATTACATAAATAAAAAAGCAATTAATACGTAATGGTGTACATCATTATTTATTGCTCTTGTCCCGATTCTTTTATCTTTAGTTTGTAAATATCAACTTTCACTATTTTATTATCCGTATCATCTTTCACTTCGGTTGTGATAAAAATGTGCAAGAGCTTTCTAGAGCTTAATATTTAAGTACCTTGAAATACTACCAAACGGCGGCACGAATGAAACTTCTAACGATTTCTGAATATGTTTGTTCTATTAAATGACCTATAAGTCTGAGTATTTTTTATGACGTAACTAATAACTTAGCAATAAATTAACTTCCACCAGACCTCCGAACTGGGTACTGGGTGATATATCCATAGTACTTTGATATACTGAAATATGACCAAAAACAACATAAAACTTACAAGTCGTCACATATAGACTTAATATAAAACTAAGAAAGACCGATTAACTAATCACGATAATTTTGATAGAGACTATTCTGCTTACACTGAATAATATTCGAGGTATACATATAAACGTAATAAAACATGTATGATTTAATTTGTAAAATTAAAAACTATCAAAAAGTAGGTTACCTACCACGCGCTTAATTGACGCTTCGCTGGTCAAAGTCAAAATAATCTTTTATTCAGATAGACTTCTTAAAAGTACTTTTGAGTCATGCTACATTTTTTTCTCCTACCACTTGTTCGGGACATCTTTTGGCTGATAAGAAGAACGAGCAGAAACACACCAGCTCTAAAAGGAGTAATGACATTCACAAAAACCCTGTCATTACCAGATCAATACATTATAAATAAGAGAGAAAAAAATACTATTGTCTTAAAATGATAACGTAATATATTATAATTATATAATAATGGAAACAAAAACATAAAAACATTGCACGCACGCTACAGTAATGAATTCTGCCGAAATTTGGAGGAAGCTGGGGATAAATATAATATCGGATTGATTTAAAAAGCTTTTTCCCTTTTATTCACGAGCTCTCAGTCTATACATTTCCATCCACATTAATGCTAAGCTTTTTGTATACTAGTAAAATGGTTTAGGCTAGACAAATCAGTGAAGAATAATAATATAAGAATAAATTCAATAATAGCAAAAATATCTCTTACAGGAAGTAATAGAATCGTAACACTAAAATCAAACGAGATAACAGTACATGAGTACAGGATAAATTATCACAGCAACTGCCACACTTGTAGATGCAACAATATACTCTCCGCCAAAGACATAAAGGACAATTTGCTATTCCTCGCTATAGCCGTAAACAAAACGGGGACTCTGTTATTCGTGGCGACAGATGACAGCCGAATAATCTGCGTTGATCTCAAAACTAATTTGCGTGCGTTCGACCTTGAAAATCGACGTGGGTGAGTATTGATTCATTAACATGACAATGAGTTTTTACTTTGCTGTTGTTTTCTTAGTTAATATTACGTCATCATCATCGTTTGCCCTTTTACGTCCCCACTGTAAGGGCTAAGACCTTCCTCATAGGTGGTTAAAGAGGATGGGCCCAACACTGGCCCAATGCGGATTGGTAATTATTAACGACTGCAAACGCAGCCGAATCCAACGGCTTGACGTGCCTTCGTAAGCACGGAGAAGCTCGAGATTTAATTTTTTGGTCACCCATCACGTGACCGACCCTTGCGAAAGTTGCTTAACAACAACGATCGTGGACCGAGGCGCTTATCCTTTACGCCATCCGGCTACCTGTATTAGTCTCATGCTTTTATCTATATCGTAGATAATCTAAACGGTCGGTATGAGTTAACGAGTTTTCTTAAACACCGTTTCGCCTAATTAGACAACTGTAACTCGTACGAATCAGTATGACCCCTGAGGGCTTATTCTATTTATTATCGAACGAAAATTCGGAAATTTTCAAATCGTTTCCTTAATTTTGTTAAAGTCATGTCCCGGAAGATTATCTGTGCACCAGAGGTAGTGTCAGGATCAAACTCCATTGCATCATAAACTATTAAAAAATGCGTTTCTTTGAAGTCGTATTAGCATTTCTTAAATAGACGAAATCTCGTTTTCGTAAAAACAGAATAAGCCTTCAGGTGTCATGTTGATTCGTACGAGGAGTAGTTATTAATGATCAAAGTCTTATTTATACACATTATAGTCGCAAATTGCATCCCACCAGAGCCTCAATTCCGCAAATTTTAATGACATACTTAAGAGCCATATTACATCGCAACTGTGATTTCTGCGTGATTTTTCTCGGAAACAAAAACAAATTAACAATTTTGACTTGTTGAATAGTGAAGAATAACTCTTGGTATAGAAATTAGTGGCTCAACTTTTTGGAAATTTTGCTCATCTTTTTAATTAAATCCAAAATACCAGAGAAAGTTTTTCATAAAATGCGCAAAGACACTTTTTTTTGAAGTCCTGGATTGAGCTACTGTTCTTAACAAACGAAATAAAAGAAATAGAATGATATCTCTTATATAGTCGTAAAGTAAACAGTAGCTCGAAATTTTGAAATAGCACTGATTAAATATAGAAAAACAATTATATTACAAACCAAAAAACATCAAAAATTGCTTGAAGTTAACTTTGAATTTCTCTTAGCCACAACAATATTATTTAACAAAATTTATGCCAGATTAATGACTATTTCATAAGGAACAAAGTTATTATAATTTTAAAGCATAAATTTATTATATTATTTCAATAAATACGATAAATGTAAACGCAAAATCACTACAAAATAAGATGCAGCGGCCGTCTGAGCTCAGTACCGCGCGAGCGCTCCTCAACGTTAGACCTATGTCGCATTTCTTCGCGCCATTTTTTCGATCTAGATACATTCGAGCGAGCGTAAATAGAGCAGTATAGTGGGACTTCCAACTTTGGTCACGAAGTTCGATTTATATGGAATTTATATAGCTTATTGAATTATTTCTAATACATATTTGTTATTTTCAGCATAGGTCGAAAGACCCCTAGGTATATTTGTATAATAAAGTTAAAATATATATTTATATTATGAAATGCAAATAAAGCAAGGTACTTCTTCTCTCAATACACTTATACTAGCACATAAAATTGGAGTGCATATTTGTAATATTAAAATAACCGCTTTTCACTAAATACATTTGTGTGTATACATGGTACATATACAAAAATAATATATTTTATCTGTCTGTCTGTTAGTTCTGGCTAATCTCTGAAACGGCTTGGCCGATTTTGAAGAGACTTTCATTAGAAGTTGACTTACGTAATGAGGATTAACTTAGACTTATGGCTCGATGCAATTCGACCGATATCAAATTTATCGGAGATCCGCATATGAAACAACTTTTTCTAAATTCAATATATTTTTAATCTCGGACGCAAAAACGACGCGGTGTTATAAGTTTGACATGTCTCTGTGTGTGTGTGTGTGTGGTGTGTTTGTGTCTTTTTGTGGCATTATAGTTCCCGAACGGATGAACCCATTTTGATTTTGTTTAAAAGGTGTATTAGTCGGGAGTGTTCTTCACTTTGATGAAAATCGATACAAGATGGCCGCCGCCACAAAATGTCGGATCACATATTTTATCACCATTCCATCAATATGGGTATCAAATAAGAGGGCTTGAGTAGTAGAATACTGAACACTATGACAAATTTCAAATCCAAGATGGCCGCCACCAAAAATGTTGGATAACCTTCATATTTTTCACGACTCCCTCAATACGGACATTAAATAAAAGGGCTTGAGTAGTAGAATACTGTTTACTATGACAAAATTTTATATACAAGATGGCCGCCGCCACAAAATGTTGGATTATCTATTTATTTATTTATTTATTTTGTACACACATACAATTTCATATGAACAAATGTAACAGACATTAGTACAAGGGCACTGCTTATTTCAAATTGAAATTTCTACCAGCAGGCCCAAAACAGGAAAAAGAAATACAAAAAGGAAATACAAATTCAAATACCGGGAAAGAGAGAAAATAAAAATACATAACGGTTCAAACATTATATAAATAATAATATATATATATATCTATAATATATAAAGATTAATAATACCTACACTATCCAATATCAACAACAGGAAAGATAATGATCCTTTACTCTTTTTTTGAACACAGAAATAGTGCGACTGTCACGTATATCGGCAGGCAAAGAGTTCCAGAGTCTAGCAGCATGAACAGTGAAGGAATATGAAGCAAAATCCGTTTTGTGTGAAGGAGTTTGAAGACTTAAGGTGGGATCTGCAAAGAGCATCAGGAGAACGGAGAAAGGAGAAACGCTCACGCAGATAGGAAGGATAGACGGGATTATACAGGATGTTGAACAGAAGACAGACAATCCTGACATATCTACGCTGACGAATGGGAAGCCACATGAGCTGCTTACGTAAATGTGACACATGATCATACTTACGAAGACCATAAATAAATCTAATCGCTAGATTTTGAAGTCGTTCAAGTTTGTTTAATAACTCCTCAGTGGCATCCAAGTAACATGCATCTGCATAGTCAAGAAGAGGTATAATTAAGGATTGTGCTAGTAACACTTTAGTTTTAAAAGGTAAAAAGTTTTGAAGGCATTTAAGTGTGTGAAATGAGAAGAAGGTTCTACGACTAACCTCAGATACATGGGCAGTCCATGATAGATTTGAATCCATTGTAATTCCAAGATTTTTTACAGTGTCTGTTAACTCGATCTGAGTCCCATCCAAAAGCAGGGGTGGTAAAGATAATGCAGAAATAGAATTAATATTAAACCTGCTACCTATCACAATGGCCTGAGATTTACTCGGGTTAAGCATGAGGCCAAACGATTTTGCCCAAGTACTAATGCGATCCAAATCGTTATTAATAGCTACCAGTGCCGAGTTACAGTCTTCTATTTTAAAGTGTCGATAAAGCTGCAAGTCGTCTGCATAGAGGTGGAAGTTGGAAGATATAACTTTAGTAACCGAGTTAATGAAAATAGAAAATAAGAGAGGTGAGAGAACAGCACCCTGAGGAACACCCGCACCGAGGTCGCACCAATCAGAAGATTTATTACCAAGACGCACACGTTGCGTGCGTCCCCGAAGGTAGGAATCAAACCATGAGAGAACAGAAGGAGAGATATTGCAAGAACGAAGAATAGCGAGAAGAATGTCAAAATCGACAGAATTAAAAGCACTGCTGAAGTCTAGAAGAATTAGAACTGTAAGAGCTTTATTCTCCATAGCCCAACGAATATCATCAGTAATGTTTATTAAAGCTGTTACAGTACTGTGACCAGGGCGGAAACCAGATTGGTACCTATTCAAAAGGGAATTAGAAAAAAGAAAAGTTGATAATTGCTTATGAACAATATGCTCAAGAAGTTTAGAGAGAAGGGGAAGAATAGAAATAGGACGAAAATGAGATGGGACTGAAGGATTAGATACTTTAGGCAGTGGAATAATGTGCGCCATCTTCCAAATTTTGGGAAAAGAACCGGATTCAAGTGAGAAGTTAAGAATGTGAACAAGTATAGGAAGGAGAAAAGATAAAATAGGGGTAAACATTCTTACGCTTAGGTTGTCCTCGCCAGCAGCCTCGGAAGAAATGGCTTGAATGGTATTTTTAATGTCAGTTTCGGATATTTTTGAAAAGACAAAAGATGTGCAGTCTGGCCTCGGAACCAGTGAAAGTTCTGCGAGCGTAGAATCATTTATGTCACCATCAATAGTAGAAGGAGGAAGGGAGAAGTGTCTGTTAAGGATGCTTAAATCTACATTGGTAGACACAGTAGCAGTAGATTTCCCCACTCCTACAGAGCGCAAAAACCGCCAGGCATCAGTAGGATTGCGATCAGTAAGAGAGCTATGGAAGAAGCGTCGCTTAGCATCCCTACACATACGACTGCAGCAATTTCGAAGAACCTTAAAACGAATAAGATTGCGGTTAGTTGGACGTTTCTTATATGCTCTTTTTGCCTTATCTCTTTTTTTAACCACCAAAAAATTGACCACCCATCCAATTGCCGGCCTTTGCAATCGTCGCTTAACCTCCTCAATCGCAGATCAAATTAGCTATCCGGCACCATCGAGCTTTTCATTTGTTTATATACGGATATTGCCGTATTTTTTTGTAAAATTCAATATATTTTGATGATATGGTAAGTATGAGCAAATGAATCGTTCTTCGATATTATTGAACAGAAAATCAAAAGCAGATCGAGCGTTCTACCACCTTCATAAATTTGAAGTGATACCGCAGACCATGAGATTTGTGACCTATATTGACAGATAGTACAATCTCATGAGCAAACACTTGAGTTTTTCCATACATTTTATAAGTGCATGCGATTCGTGTGATATCGTTCATTCATATCGAATAACATCGCATCTAGCCATGAGAAAAGAACCTTAGGTTACTTTCCATTCGCATAAAGCCGCGGGCACAACTAGTTTAATATAATTCTAATTTACTACTTTTCCAAACAGGAAACAGTCCATGTTTCCTATGGATGACGAAAATATTTCGAAATCGTCGACGAAAAATATGGCACGAATATTTTTTAATTAATATTTATAATTTTATTGATATATTGTCATCGCTATTTATATTTATAGCCTATGATTTGGCTAAACTTGTTTCTTTTAATTTTTGTCCGATCTTAGCAGTCGTGTTTTTAATTTTTAAATAATTTTTATATTTTATTCATTTTAGTGAGCAGTTAATTTTGTATACAGATTATATATTTTTAATGGACCTTTAATTTGATACCCATAAAGTTATGATTATAAAAAAACATACTTTTTTAAATGGCGTCACACGTCCCCATACCTATTTAATATTAATAATTAAGCTAGTTTCACTGATACTCTATGTATTTTGTGGTAACTTAGGATGATGTTTCTAATGATACCCTGTACATTCATATCCGTTATATCTTTCAAAAGTTATGGTGCAATAAAAATACATACATACATTAATTCTAAAAACAATAGACTCCTTTTCGAGAGCAGTCGTTTAAAATATTCGGGAATCGATAATGAATCTCACCATAGAAATACTAAAATAAATACAAAAATTGGGAAAAGTATCAAAATAGCTTGAACGTGGTTTCAACACAGTATTGTGGACTCGTGACCTTGAACAAGTTCTCGAGAACTCAAATCACAGAGTGAAAATTTGTCATATGGCTCTTAATATTCGACTCTCAATAGAATCTGAAATACTTGCATTTTGTCATTATAATACCCACCTTAAGACCAATATTATAAGTGCAATATCTTCTTCACAAATGACTGGTGACAGACATATTTTGTGATCTAGTAACAAGAACTGTGTCATTAGGGTAATTGAAGCGCGATTAATTTTCCATGTTAACGTTCACATTAGTCTCGTAGAATTTTCCCTGGTGTAAATATTTATTTCATAAAAAATTAGGAACTTTTTGATAGCATGTACTTTTTAGACCGTTCATAGTGGACAGTATCTCATCCTTTCCCATTGGTTTTTATTTCAAGTCCCTTTAGACACGACTTTGAAACGCACTCCATATGAAGATTGATATATTCAAACAATTGGCAGCGATCACCTTTTCAAATCAACATCGGTATTCTGTTAATCTAGTAGTTTTTCATAACTGATATTGCTTGAAGTTGTCGACTCTAATGTATTAGAAATTATATTATTAGAAACTAGCTGTTTTCCCTCGACTTCGCCCGCGTAAATAATAACCTATGTCACCTGCGTATAATGTAGCCTTCAGTATGTGAAAGAATGTTTAAAATGTATCCAGAAGTTTTGAAACCAACAAAACAATTATTATTTTCTTCTTTATAACATTAGTTTAAATATGAGAGTAACTATGTCTCTCTCACTTTCATTGCCAAATGGCTGAGCCATTGTAAATATAATTTGAACAGATATAGTTTGCGGTCTGGTAAAGGATAAAGGCTTATTTTTCTAAAACATCAATAATACATTAGAAATAAGCAGTGGTTGATGGAAATATCTACTAAAATCAAATCCTAGTAAATATATAAATTAAAGGCGAACCATTGTGTGTTGGGTTCATTTGCTCTTAGCCTTTTATCACATCTTCCACGCCCCCAAATCTATTCCAACGGTCCATATTTTATGGTTTCAGTAACGTTATATGTATGGACGTGAGTGAAGTGGCCTTGTGGAACGACTTCGAGCCAGGATCGGACGTGTTGTTGACAGGCACTGGCACAGTAGAGAACTGTATGAAAGTATGGAACTTGGACGCTTCATATGTATTGCAGACCACACAGAAGAACAGGTAAGTAATCTTTATTACAGTTAAAAGTATAGTTTCAAAGAAAAATATCATTAACGACCATGTTCACTAACCTAGAACAAGGCATAGCTTAACTAGGAAACGCCTAATCTTACGAATCGCCCAACGAAATTAATTCCAAATAAACATTTTATTTTGTAGCCTGACATATTACGCAAATGTCTAGGCAAGGCCCCGCATAACGCATGTTATACCTTTGTACATTGCTTAATGTCGTTAAGTGGTTCCTAGTCATTGGTGAAATGCATTTCCACTTTAGGCGATTCCTAAATATTTAGGCGACTCCTAAGCTTAGTGAAAACGGGCATAAGTATGCATATTTTGTCATTTCCCGTTTAGTTTTTTTATTGTATCGTGCTAGCCATAATCATATTGTCTTGATAGAGGCCGTAATCATACAAGACAATAATAAATATGAACTATATACAAGAGTTGTATTATTGCTGCGAATTTGAATAAAAATAATTTAGAGTTAGAGTACTGGCAAATATTTCAAAAATTTGCGAAAGGTGACGTTGAAATGTGTTATACAGATACTTAAAATTCCATCTACTCAATAATGGCAAATTTTATATGTCGGTCTTAAATAATCATGAAAAATATTAATCAAGTATTTTTGCGTAATCATCAGAGGTCGGAATTAGGTAGAGTTATTTATGTACTTGCATCGAAATGTTGATATTAATGTGGACCTTCCCGGGATTTCTTTATTTCTTTCTTTGATGTAAGTTTGGCAACGTCGTGCGTGCAGTAGTTTAAATTGTGTAAAAGTAAATTACCTTTTTATTAATAAATCACGGGATTTTTTCTGTTCTTTAAAATTAATCTCGGGGTTTGAGGCATATCCACCTTATTCTTTCGCTGTGTGAAATCAGTGTAAGTCTACCTAATTCCGACCACTGGTAATCATTAAATTAAGGCGATACATTGAGTTAAAATGTCAAATGACGTCACGCTTTTGTACATTTTCTACAAAACAGTGGCGTAGCGAGCCCCAACTCCTCAGCTTTAAAGCCTATTATCTGAGGTAATTTTTGTTAAATTGAAGTATAAAAAAATTATATATAATATTTTTCTATTATCTGACTGATGGACTAAATTGAATTTCTTTTTTTTTTAATCAGGCATCATCACCATTATTTTGCAAAATTTATGTTATACACAACATTTACATATGCAAGATTATTTTAAAAATTATAGTTTGCAATATGAAATGTTATCTGATTTCAGTAAAGTTCGCTTGACTAAGAAGTTCGATGTCAGTTTTTTGAACCACCAATCGCCACAAAGTCCAAGCACGTCGGCTTCGAGCAGCATACAGAGTGTCACAAACTCCCCTCGTCGCCATCAGTCTTTTGTCAATCATACTGAAGCGCCTAAAAGGCCAATTGTTTCAAGTTTAAGCTTAGATAGACACGCATTAAAACCTCTAAACTTGAAAGGGATTTGTAATAACAATGATGGAACGTACCAACCTCTGCTCGCTGTCGTTGATGATAAAAATAATATACAGGTTAGTTCTACAAGATTAACAACTTTATTCCCTGATCATAAAGTATAAAGTCAATAGGGGTCAATTTCTACAAGTTGAATGTTTGACTATTTCCAATGACGAATATTCCTTTCAATTAAAAAAAAACGTGGTGAGATATATTCGCCACTTTAGAATTGACAATAGGTAATGCACTCAATAAAGTTGACTTAGATTATAATTATAAAAAAATAATATTAGCAAATCGTATACAAAGTTAACCCTCAATAGGTTACTATAAAGAAACTTACCACGGTTATTTAGTTACACATGGTTCTGTTCACGTCATTCCAATGTGACTTTCAGTTCGTTTATACACAGCTTGTTAGTAAGGTCTTTAATGTATTGCTGTTCATTTCGAGGGCTATAAATGTATATTATTCTATGTTGGTTGTTGTGGCACAAATACCTAATCAAATTTATACTATTTTTGCCACAGGTAATGCGTGGCAGGAAAATTCTGACAGAAATAACTACACATCCAGATGAAAAAGTAACCACAGTTCAGATTTCGCCTTGTAACCATTATGTTATCTATGGATTATACTCGGGAAGCGTAAAAAGATACGCGCTTCGCTCCAAAGAGACTAAAGTAATCATAGACATGTATGATCCAGTGCAGTATTTGAATTTCGTCAACCCGCATTTGTTGATAGCGGGCAGTAAGAATTGCTGCCTTATGGCATATAGACTTATGGGCGATGGAACGTGGAAGACTGATATGATGCAGCGTGGCAGGACCAATTTAGGATCCACAGAAATAATAAATGATTTACAAGGTAAGTATTTCTTATTTGTTCATATTCTTTCGCGTTCCCCTCTGCCTTACTAAATCACTGTGTATAATAGTAGCGAGGAATGAATTGGGAGAGCAATTGGCTACTTTACAATTATAATAATAAATTATGAAGTATTTTAAAAACTGTAATTTATATATTTTAAACAAAAAATACTACAAAATTATGTAGATTTTTTGTTAAAAAAAAATTCGTTAATGTATTTCATCTTCGCAAAATTAACTTGCGATTTATAATGTGTAGAGTAGAAGTACAGAAACGCGGCCATGATGGAGCATGGTGTGACCTCGCATTTCTATAAAAGTCCTACTTACTTTTATAGTCCTTTCTATAAAAGTAAGTATATTAAATAAAAGTCCACGTTTTTGTTGTATATGCAATCTGTACTTATGTTTATCGAAATGTGACGTCACGGCACCTCACGGCAAAATTTAAATTAATTAAGTATCCTCAAGTATTTTATAAGATACAGCCTCGTTTTCACTAAATAAAACACGAACTCCAAATCTACAAACGTATTTCAGCACACCCGTCATAGTAGGTTACATTTTCAGGTGTAAAAAAGAAGAGTTCGACGACTATACAGTCGGAACAAATGTCTAGTTCTGGCAGCGAAAACAGCCTCAACTCTAAGCACAGAGTATTCTACAACGGTGATAGTATAGGAAAATCGCGACAATACAGCGGTCTCGTGGAATGCTTTTGGCTGAAAGATACAGGTCTTCTTACTGTCGAAAGTAATGCGGTAGTCAAACTGTGGGATGCAGACGTGAAATTGGTCAGTGTGCTAAACGCCCGACAGCCTGATGTGTATGTAACATGTGCAGCATACCAGAAGAATATTCTTGTAATATGTGACGGGTGCAAGACTTCTTTCCAGGTGAGTTCTTTGTTTATTTGGGGTAAAAGGCTAATTGGTTTAAGGGATATTTTTGCCACTAAATTTCGTTAAATCCACACTTCAGAAACGAAACCAGTCAGTATTTTTGAAAAATTATCTTGTCTAGTCATTTTAAACATCTCATTAATTAATGATGAAAAAACTCAAATTTTTATACCCATCACGTAACTGTCAACAGCGCGTGACGTCATGCTTTTCTTACTCACATAAGAACCTATAAAATTCAACCTTATATAGAACGATGTTAGTTTCAGAGAACCGTGACGTCATAGCGACGCCATGACAGAAGCTATTAAACTTATTATATAAATGATACTTATTTCATTTTTTTTTTTAAATATTTCATGTATATATATAAAAAAATATTTAAAAAGTTGTCTACGCATCTATAGTTGTAATGTTTAGTAAATTTCTGTAAGATAAAGCGTTTATGAAGTTATATCAAGAAAGCTGTTAGAATGCCTTCATATACTGTAATGTTTATGTTATGCTCAAAGTTACTAATCAAAGTAAAAAAATGCCCAAATGAAATGAAGTAATCAAATTTTCTGGGCATTATTTATACTGCTTGTCACTTATCAGGCAGAACGGAATTTTTCCGCAATAAAACCTAAACTTACTGTGCTAATATTATGTACTTTCTCCAATTAATTTATAAGAAATGTATATATATTTACAGACATATGAACTGAAACAGGGTGAACATTTGGAACTGACACTAATACAAGATTATAGGTTAAATAACAGAATAATTTCATGCGATCTGACAGCGGATGGATTGGTGCTTGCTATGGGATTAGAATCGGGGGAAGTTGTGGTAAGTATTATTAGTGAATATAACCCTATTCTATCATGAAGTGATTGGGTTTTCACTTATTTATGGTTATAGGATTCATATTGTAGCCAACGTTATTTGTGCTTGGCATGGTTGGATATAATAAGTTAGAGGTTAGAAGGCTGTTGAGTTTAGCTACGTACATGTTTAAAATATTGCGTGGTCGAATTTTTAACCATATAGTGTTAGAGTAGGGTTGTACGTTCCAAACCGATATGTGTGGCGGCGTCGACAGCCGCCTCTGTTCGCATTACCATATGCACGCACAAACATATTAAGAGAGGCACCTATACAACGAACGTTGCATTGTCTAAACGAGACTGCAAAGTCTATAGATTTATTTTGTTGTTCATTGAACGAATTCGTACCGGCAGTATTATATGTTATATGTTATAAGTGAAAGTCTATGTCTACGCTATCGCATTAGGGAAACCTGTAATGACAGTAGTATGTTGCAAATAAATAAATAAATATTCTCAAAGGCAGTACATATATGTGGGAACCATTTATTCTGTCCTGCTTATCCATAACTTAAAACCTCATTGTATTGTCTTTGGCAGTTGTGTTTTAAATTTTTTATTATTTACTTTATTCCTTTTAGTGACGAAAATCATATGTTATATATTTTATGTTAAGCAATATTGAATACTAGCTTTCGCCAGCGGCTTAACCCGCGTGGACCCTAGGGAAATGTGAAGTGGGATAAAAAGTATCCTATTATCGAAGTCAGCTAATACCCTACATGTAAACCAAATTTCATCAAAATCCGTTCAGTAGTTTGACCGACAAACATCCAAATAAAGAAACTTTCACATTTATAATATTAATAGGATATAGTCCAGTCACAGAACACTGATAGATATCGTTAACATTTTCGGTTCACTTCACTTTACTTGACAAAATTGTCTGTATGCATCTGTGCAAACGTAATAGCATTATGTTTTTGCACAAGTAAAAGAGATATGTACCGCCGGGTCATTGTACGAAATTCTCTCTATTGGGCGACCGTGATATTGTAATATTAGAGCGGATATGACGAAAATATCTACGTATAGATATGTCGTTGTTATAAAAAGTAAACATCAATTTATTATTTCGCAAAACAAACAACAGATTATAATTTAAAAGAAATTTTAGATTTTTGTTTATATAATAAATGATTGTTATAAAAGTTGATTATATTTAAAAATAATCGATTAGTTGTTAATTAATTTTGAGTTATTGAATAATAATCAATTACCTTTTGATTTAAAATGTCATAACTCCCGTCTTCGTCAGTGACGTCACGAGAAGCGCGCCAAAACTTACGGCGTTTAAGTGCACATCACCTTTACTTAATTTCGTCATTTGTTGTTGCTACTTTTTAGTTTTTCGGTACCGGGTATTTTCTACATTTATATAACTGTATATATTATTATCATGTAAAAATATTAAATAAAATTTAAAGTGTTTAAAAATATTGTTCTAGATATGGAATGTGCCACGAAAAAGTCAAATAAGGTTGCTTAGTCATCACAAGAACGCTGTCCAATGGTGTGCTTTCTCACCCGTTCCGGACAAATTGTTCCGTTCTACCCTCAGTTCCCCGTCGCCGTTTAACCAAGCTACAAATGTTGAGAGTACGGATGATGACAGTCCACCATTGGTCCTCATCACAATGGCTTCGGAAATCGTTTGGTGGAATGTCTCCTATATACTAAAGATTCGGGCGAATAAAAGCTATTGGAGGTAAATATAAGAAAGGTTTCTTAAGCTACCCACATATATTTTATTTAAAAATAGTTTGTTTATTTTATCAATTTTTGCATTCATAATGCTATACTGGAAAGTATACTTAAATAAAAATGCCCTGAGATTACTAATTTCTATCCAAACTGTGGTCAAATTTTCTAATTTCCAAATTTTTTTCAAATCTCTTTCAAAGGCATAGAAATTAGTCCGTCAGTCAGATAATATAAAAATATTAGATACGTTACTTTTTTCTTCAATTTAAAAATGGCTTAGTTCATAGACGTTAAATTTGATGAGTGAGGACTCGCTACGTCACAACTATGTAGAAAAGATCGTTATTGGACAATTCAACCCAATGTATCGCCGTAATTTATTAATTACGCGTAAAATAAAATAGACGTGTTTAATAATCTACCCGACGGACAGACAAACAAAAATTAGTCATCTAACGCTTGCCTTAGACCATTCCAATTAACGATATTTTATCCAATATATTTTATTAAAACGTAGCAATCGCAGTGTCATAGTTGTAACGTGAAGTTCGTGAATATCTCTCAAATGTCAAATTGAAAAAGATTACGATAGATTTTATAATAAGACAATTTGGGCCACAGATCTCTATATACTCTTTGTTTTACGTATTATATACTCTTTTTTTGTGTTTTTATTTTATAATTGTACTTGAAATATATCTTTAAAAAAATTTTTTTAAAGAGTATCATTCATTTGTGTTCACGTAATAACGAATATGAAATGTTTGTATTTTCATAATTAATTGTTATTAATTGTTATGTTACTTTGTAATTTTTTGGTTTGTTTTAGTTTATTTATATCTTGGACAGTTATAAATTATGATGTTAATACAAAATAAAAATTTGCCATTTAACATGCACATGCATAAGGTTACATTTTTAATTATGTTTTCTGATTACACTTTTATGTAAATATTTGCAGAACAGGCCGTAATGTGATGACTCCATTGGCTAGTCCGATTGATGGCAAAAGCGACTTAACGGAATCCATGGAAGGGTTAAGGCTGGGCTCGTCCGGCAACAATTTCTTTTTTGGAAACGGTGTATCTAATACACAAGAATGTTGGAAGGCTATTTGGAAAAGTAAAAAGTAATATTATTTTATAATTACATAAAATTACATAATTTAAAGTTTAAGTGAACTCAACCAATACATAATTTGCCATTTTCTATTATCATTGGAAATATTTTAGTATTTTAATCTAACCTTTATTACACTTAATTCTTCTAATCACTTAATATTAACAGTTAATTATCATGTGCTGTACGTTTTTCTCAGGTATAAAGAAGGCTCAAAGAAGAAAGAAATATTGTCTTGCATCAAACTATCAGGTATATACGCCAAGAAGTTTTCTCATGACGATAAGTTTTCTTGTTTCGTCACCGTCGACAATTCCGGCCATGTTTACATCATGAATGTCATGAAATCATAACATTACACTGCCATATGTATTTACTTGTTATACGTAACCTTAATTCGTCGTTATATAGCTGATATTGCATTTGACTATGGAAGATATGACATTATTGATAATTCTTTCAACCAGTCTCATTTATAATTTAAGCAACTTTGATTAAGTCCATACTTTAAAGTACGGATTTTAATATATCAAATGTACTTCCCAGCCGTTAATACTTTTAATAAACAATACTACTATAAGCTATTAACCAATAAAATTTAAAACTTGGTAAGCCATTTTGTTAAGCATAGTTAAAACCATAAATTATTTTTCTTAACACCTTTACGTTTTGCAGTATTAATGTTAAACAAGTATACTTAATTAATTATAATCTTTGCGGTCGGTGATTATTTGATGAAAGTAGCGTCCCATCATTTTGTTTGCGGAACGTCACAACTTCCAAATATTGGAAATGAAATTCAACCTTGCTCAGTCGACATAAAAGCATACTTCGCGTACGAACGCATACTTTCGTAAGACGCTTGACGGATCTTCAATCAGATTCACACGGACCCTAATACTGTTAGACTATAAATTTAAAATTTATTTCGTGTACACTTATCCACAAAACCTTTCAGTTAAGAATATCCAATTCCAAAAAAGTCCAGTTCCCAAAATGTTCAATTCCCAAAATTTCCAATCAAGTATCATGATGAGTTTGTTGAATATATAAATAAATAATATGTTTTAATTTTTAATATTTTTAAAATAGACTTTGAGGACTTATTCCACTAGCTCGCCATATATTATTCATCGTGTTTTCAACAAACCTTATCTTGATACTAGATTATACATTTGAGGAATAAGACAATTCGGCAACTGACATTTTGTATCCATTAGACATTTTAAACTGAAAGGCACAAAGCAAGTAAATGACAAGAACTGAACAAAACACTTTAGACTGAGATTATTTTGCATTTTTATTTCAATTTTACCATAGACGAATAAATGTGTCCGAGTTTAATGTTAAAACGAATACTCTCGATTTATGAAAATGCCTTCACTTCTTTTACGTAAAAATTTATTTGTAAGATGAATTAGTGTATTATTTAGCATAATCAGGATATTTCGAGCGTAATAGTAATAAAGAAATGCATATGTTTAATTTTAATTCAAGAAGGAGACGGTTATCCAAGAAGGTTGTATATAAATAATTATTTTTATATTAATTATTGCTCTTATTCTTTTAAATGAACAATAATTAAAATAGTAGCATTCAGTTATTTTACATATAAATATTATTCTTGTATCAGAAGTAGTTGAAATAAGGTAGAAAACGCACAATTTATAAAATTTTAATAGGCATTTTGTCTTTATAACTAAAATAATGCTTTCTGTTTTAATGAAATTATGTAGTTATCCAATGTATTTCTAAATCCCACCAGACTGTATTTTGAACAAAGAAAATAGGTCACAAATATTATTATTTTAATTTAACGGATCGGTGACTAATGATAATTTTATAGTTCTCTATGAATAGATAATTTTTTAACGTGCCATTGTCATGGGTAACGTAATATAGTTGATAATGTGATTTAGTCTACGAGAGATCTCTTATTGTGTAAATAGTGTTTTTACTATATCAATTATTAATAAGTGATGGTGCTATGTATAAAAACAAAAACTTCAGGTTGACACATCTATTAGGAGAGTCCTACTCCCCTGTAGGATTGTGCTTAAAGCATTTCCCCGAGTTTAAAAAAAAAGTTGACAGATATATATATATTTTTTTTATTATTAATACACTTTTGGTTTTGATTTGCATTTAAATTTATATAAGTATCTATTAAAATAAATAAAAAACTGAAACATAAATATCATTGTGATTACGTAAATATCGTCAGTCAAAACATGTCTTATTAATATAGAAAACCTACCTACGCCTCTGATCTACAGTTTAACCTGAAGTATTTTGTTTTGTTGTTATGATGTATATCATACAATGGGACCGTATGGTAAACAATTCCAGTCGTATTAATGTTTTTCGACTATGACACTGGTTCTATTTATCTTATTAAAAAAAAATGAGCTCAATTCAGCATTTTTCTTCTGTTCCTACAAACATGTTAATTCATAGATGTGTATTATGTTGAATAATATATATACTTTCAATATTGCTATGAAGTGATTTCTTTTAAAAACAATTTTATAACTAGGATTTTATTTTTGATATATTTTTTGGTCAATACAACGAAATTTATTAATCATATGTATTGATGTCAACGAATAATGAATGTGTTGTGCCACGAAATTATTCTTTAATAATTGAATTACCTATATATTTTTAGATTCTTTAAATAACATTATTTTATAAAGGATTGTCCTTTAAATATACAGATTTTTGTAAATGTGTGTTGTTTTTTTTTTTGTTCCATGTTTTATTTCATCATTACCACATCAATTGGCGTTTGTAGACATCCATTACTTTTGTAATTATGTACAGTAGACACAAATATCAACGTACAAAATTGTCTCTGTTCGTCTTGCTATAAACTAAATAAAAATAAATTGTGAATCGTTTTAAACTACCTTCAATGAATCAGTATTTCTTTTAAGTTTCGAAGAACCTCAAAAAATTAAAAAATTAAATATAGGTATACATATCTAAAAAGCTGTCAATATCATTACGAGTTATATTAATAAAATGGTACACAGATCTGTGGATAACGTTATCTTCCATGCTGTGTGCTTTAAAACTATAATATTATAAAGAGAAAAGATTTTTTTGTCTGAATTAAATGGCTCCAAAACTACTGAAACGATTTTAAAATTTCTTCACCTACGGGAAGCTACAACATACGCGAGTGACATGGTTTACGCGAAAAAATAGCTAATGTAATAAAAAGAGACAAATGATAAAAGAAAGAGGTCAAAAATGACCCGAATGGCTTTGAGAAAAGGCCGTGCCCTGTTTACTTTTTCCTAGACTTGTCCGGGAGCACTTCCGTGCCCCCAGATAATAGGTACACCAAAACCTTTTATCTTCTATGAAATCAAAATAAAAGTGGTTACATCAAAAAACAATTTGAGGTCCGTACTAGCCGTATCATTAGTAAGAAATAAAATATCTGGCGCTATTAATAACAAACGCAATGAAACCGTTTCAAAAACGATTTTTAAAATTTCTGCTCTTGTAACGCACGCTTGACATCACTTTATGGCAAAAGAAGTATTAAAAAAAAAAACATTAGTTCCCGAAACCAAACTAGATGTCGCTACGGTACTTTCTTGATTTCTCCATGACTAATTAGAGTGTCAGTTAAGTTGGCGAATAGGTTTGTTTGGTTGCCAGAACAATGTGGTAAAATATAAACTCATTTTTTGACCAACTATACAAAAACTGATAACAACACGTATTTAATTTAATTTTGTATTGCTACTTCTATAAAATCGCACAATCGCAAATTCAAATATGAATAATAACACGTTATAAAGTATAGAATGTCATTATGAAATTTTATAGGAATAATTTATTTTATTGAAGAGATAAGTAAATCAACTTTTCAGTGCAGTTGCTCATAAAGCGCTATTTTTTTAATCCATTGTAAACACCGAAAGTGAGTCTTTAAATACGTGTGAATTAAAAATGTACTGAAATCCTTTAATGCACACGTGCTTAGAAGTATTTTTTTTTTTAAGTTTTTTTTGGCCGAGCACCAAAGAAATTAAAAAAAAACTATTAATTAAAACTTGCACCCTTTCCTTTATATTGACGAATTATTTTTGTAGCGAAATGTTTTGTTTACAATATGCCTCTGGATTCTTGCCCTTCCGATTTCAAATGACACATTATTCTATAATAGCTAGCGTAGCAACATTCAAACTCGCCAGAAAACAGCATCCGCAAACGTCAGGTTTCGTGCTGGCAACACTGGATTTAAAATCTTGGCCAACGGTTTTTCTCAGCTGCTGTCAAATCAAATCGCAGTTGTGACTCTGATTTATTATTATTTCGTTATTTTCACACGAGTTCATGAGTGAAATTTGATTTATAATTGTTTATAGTGTTAGCTAAGAAGTGTGCCTGTTTAATAAGTGACAAAATGTCTCAATTCAATTATCTAAACGATTTGAAGAGCTTAGCCACATTAGATGGACCGATCACCAGGGGCCCGCTGCAACGCTGGGTAAAGAAATCAAACAATGAAAACCACAATCCATCAATGAGTACCTCTTTCAAAAATATATCCAATGTGAACATTAGTACGTGCAATCAATCCATGCAGAAAATGTCGATATCAGCTAATCAAAGTTGTAACAATAGTGTATTATCAAGTAACAAAACCCCTAATCGAAATGACAATAAAAAAGGAAAGAAAACTCCGTCCAAAAATAGGACTCCAGGTAATATAATAGATTTTTAAATATTATGAAACTAGTGGTAAAGTATATCTTCCCTTTTCTCAACATCTTTATAATATAAAGTGTGAAATCTTCATAGGTCGATCAACAACGCCGACCCCTAACAAAGCTTCAAAGACACCAAACAAAGCAGACAGATTCATTCCATCACGAACCAATTCTAATTATGATCTGTGTCATTATATGGTAAGTAATCAAAATCAATAAATTCTATCCTTTCTTCTATATTTATAGAGGAGCTGTAGAAATACCCAGACGTATGCCCAATAACAGTACATATATTTTTAAAATTCTATTTTAAATTGTATGTCAGATGAGTCGTGATGATGACAAAGGGGAAGATGTAGTAGCTCAGACAGCTGCTGGTGAAGCAATTGGCAGAGCCCTTTCAGATGCCGAGCCTGGGCGACTTCTACAATACACATGCAAAGCACCAGCTGCACCTGAAGGCTATCAGAACAGACTGAGGGTTGTGTATTCACAGGTACTTAGACTAAAAGCTTTGCTATTTTACTTGGAATTAACTTAACAATGTCATAACATTCTTATAAAATAACTCATTTAAACAAATTAAAAATATGCAATAAGCAATATTAACAGATATAAAGTTCCATTATACATTTTATATATATATTTATTATTATTATGGGCATTTTCATTACCTATCTATAATGTTTATACCTCCTAATTAATAAATAGGGCTTTGGAAGCAGTAATAGAAAATTAAATTTGTGATTGGTTATCTAGCTCAATTTAATCAATGTGAATATATTTTCTACAGGCCAAGGTTCCATCATCAGTGAAAAATACCACACGGTACATACCACAAGCTCCAGACAGGATTTTGGATGCACCTGACATTTTGGATGATTACTGTAAGCTGAATATTAGATTTCAATTTCATCTCATATGTTAAAAGTTTATATAAGTTACTATTCTTGATTTAACAACTTTTTGTCAACAGATCTTAATTTAGTGGACTGGAGTGCATCTAATATCTTAGCTGTTGCTTTGGGAAGCTCTGTATACTTATGGAATGCAGGCACTGGCCAAATAGAACAGCTTCTCACCCTAGAAGGATCAGAGACTGTTTGTTCAGTGCAATGGGTTCAAGGAGGTGGATCCCATTTAGCTGTTGGAACTTCTTCTGCTACTGTTGAACTTTGGGACTGTGAGAAAATTAAAAGACTGAGGGTAAGAACTTTGATTCATCACTGTCATCAACTTTATGGTTGAAATAATTTAGGGAAAATTAACACAGACACCATTCAGCCCCAGAATGGATTGGTAATTAACAATAACTACTAATGCAGCACAGCAAATGGCTTCAGGGTGTCCGAATTCACTTCAAAAAGCGGCATCCTCTCATTCTTGAATTAGTGATAACTTTTGGTGACATAAACGAAGTGAGTTTTGAAATGACATAGGAATAGAATATCTGAGACATATATTTTTAATGAATTTTGTTTTGTTTTTTTATGTAAAAAATTGAAATAATAGAATTTCTACTCTAAATGACGTGAATTTAGACACATGAGTGAATTTAAATTCGGGTCTGGATTTTTACGGAATCGCAAGGCAAATCAAACCACTGATTATGAAGCCATCAAGCTTTCAAATGACTGGCCATTACTACAGGGTAAAGTCACCTATTTAATTTAACTGTAACATGATAAAGCAAAATAGTTTCTTTTCTAATAAATTAATAAAAGCAATGTGTTCATTTCCCAATAATTAACATCAGAATGGTTTTTAATTTTGGGATAGCTACCATATATGTATTAAGTTGCTGATATTTTCGCACTGTTCCAAGTTCTGTGATCACGGAGTATATCAAACATTTATCAGAAACTATAAGGTGGAATGATAGCAATCACATAATTAGCGATCATTTAAAATTTGTTATAAATTCTATATATTTGAATGCATGTACGTTGCTATTATTAAAGCCTACGTATTTAGCCACATAATGTTACTGTTCAGGTGATGGATGGCCACACCGGGCGCGTTGGTTCACTCGCGTGGAATATGTACATCGTGTCGAGCGGTGCCCGCGACGGGAACATCGTTCATCACGACGTACGGCAACGCGACCACGCCGTCGCAACCATCACGGCTCATACGCAAGAGGTAGGTCCTTTCTAATAGAGCAGTGGTGACTAGAATGGGTATGGCTAATTTTTGTTTGTTAGTCCTTTAGGTATATATTCAGGCAGAATATTAAACACGTTTTTTTTTATTATATTTTGCATTTATAATGCTACTAGCTGACCCGCGCGAACTTCGTACCATCTTATAACCGTTAAAGTCATGAGTCGTGGAAGACATAAAAAATAGAATAGAAGTAGCGAGCCCACACTCTTTAATCTACTTAATCAAACCTTCAATTGGAATTGGAGCTACAGCATAAGCCTTATGTTGCTGAAATATAAGTTCCGCTTATAAGCTTATAAGTTAAAAAAAGACAACGTAAAAATCCGAAAAAAAAAAACGCTTCTTCTAGGTAAATCTTTAAATTGAATTCCTTTTTATTGGATTGAATCAAAATGCATCCAATTTCCTTTGCTTTATGTTATCTTACATTTATTTAAAGTCTGAATTTTTAACGTTATTATTTCTTAATAGATTTGTGGCTTGAAATGGTCACCGGACGGGCGGCATCTCGCATCGGGCGGTAACGACAACCTCCTGAACATTTGGCCGATTGTACAAGGACATCACTATTCCCAGCCACAGTATCTATATTCATTCAAGTGAGAACGTCATGTTTTAAAACTTGCTAGTGCTATTATTACTGTTTTTTTATTTTATATGCTGGAAAAAAAATGTTGTATTTGGGGTCAATATATGTATACAAGTTTTTATTTATTCCAAATTAACTTTTAAAGACAATAAGCATGCTAATTCTGCTAATGTTGATGTAATAATAGCATCTCAATAAAATCTTTACTACTTTTGCATTAAGGGCGTAGACAACTTTTTTTTTCTATATTTATAAAAGCGAAATGTCACTAACTCACTCATCACGAAATCTCAGAAACTACAAGTGCTAGGAGTTTCAAATTTTGCATGCAGTTTCTTTTCAGGACATAGGAGCTCAATAAGACGAGATTAAATGAAATTCAACTTCTAAGGGGGTAAATTAGGGGATGAAAGTTTGTATGAATCTTCGTTACTACAAGTGCTAGAAGTTTAATTTTGCATGCAGGTTCTTTTTAGGGCATAGGTGCTGACTAAGACGGGATTTTATTAAATTCGACCCCTAAGGTGGTAAATTTGGGGATGAAAGTTTGTATGAAACTTCGGTACTACAAGTGCTAGAAGTTTCAAATTTTGTATGCGGTTTCTTTTTAAGACGTAGGTGCTTACTAAGACGGTTCTTACTAAGTATTTGACGAAATTCTACCCCTAAGGGGGTATTTCAAATTGGGGGATGAAATATTCTCATTTTTGGACTTAAAACTAGATCACGCGGGCAAAGCCGCTTTTCATGTGTGCCAATCGTACAAATATATTTTGTTATCTATCTGTTTAGTCAGCACTTGGCAGCAGTGAAGGGTCTAGCGTGGTGTCCATGGAGTTCAGGGATACTAGCATCAGGCGGCGGCACAGCTGATCGCACCATACGCATATGGAACGTTAACACCGGCGCCAACCTCAACACCGTGGATACCAAGTCACAGGTTCATTATATTTATTTATTAAGTTGGGACACTATACAGTTCACGACCAGATTGAGTTTTATTTGCAATATTTCAAGTGTTTTATAAATTAGATTGTGAACCAAATCTTTACTTATTGATATATTAAAAAATAAATTATTTTAACATGGCTCAGTCGGTAATGAGATAATTTAGTATATTTAATGAAGTTGTGAGTTAATATATAAGTAAAAACAGTTATATAGTGACAGTTTCCGGAAAATTTTGTATTGTATTTTTTCAAAGATTTCTCATTTTTCACAACTAACCGAAGAAAAAATGCCAGCTTGATTATGTAAGCCTTTTTTTATAATATGGAAAAGTACCCAAACCCAAGGATTGATTTAACAGTATACAGAGAATTACTAAACCAACTACGGTATTCTCACAAAATTTAGATATAAAATGTTTTTAAGAATCTTTAGACTCACATGTAAGTACATAATTTTGTGTTCACAGAATGAAATGAAATGAAAATGTTTTATTCAAGTAAGCTTGTTACAAGCACTTTTGAATCGTCCAAAAATATTTTTTCCCCTACCACTTGTTCAGGACGTCTTTTAGCTGACAAGAAGACCAACGAAAGAAAATAAATGATTATTATTATTATATGTAAAAGAGTCTTTTAATGCACATATTTTTTTTGCCTATATAATTGGTTCGAGTCCCATCACAGAATGCCAGGGACAATGTGGTTTTTCAAGCATTTTTCATTAAGTAAATTTATTACAAAATTATTAGTAGATCATTAAAAACCTATATTTTAATGTAAAACTCATATTAAGCAATTGCTACAATATTGTGTCGCGCCGCCGTTACCAGGTGTTCCAGCACCTGACCTCCACACTAGATACTGAGTGATTATCCATAATACTTCAACATACTAAAAAGCTAAGAAAATCTTAAACATTTTTGTCGGGAGCTCACTGTCTATTATAAGTTTTCGATTAAGCATCATCAGTCCTTTTACGTCCCCAGTGGCTCAAGCCCAATGTGGATTGGAGGGCATTAAAGACTCGACATAGTAATTTTTTGTTCACCCATTCCGTGACAGACCCTTGCGAAAGTTGCTTAACAGCAACGATCGTGTGCAGCGGCACTTATCCACTACGCCACTGAGCTACTCTGTGAGTTTTCGACTAAACTCCTATTTATTTGATTTTTGTTGAACCTTACACTGAATGTATATAATTATTTTTCTCGTCCAGGTGTGCTCTATTCTATGGAGTACGCACTATAAAGAGCTGATCTCCGGTCACGGATACGCCAACAATCAGCTGGTAATATGGAAGTATCCATTGATGAGTAGAGTGGCCGAGTTGACCGGTCACATGGCTCGAGTGTTACACCTCGCATTATCTCCAGATGGAACCACTGTATTATCCGCTGGTGCTGATGAAACATTACGGTGAGTCAAATTCAATATCGTTTATTCTGTCTAGCCTAGGGCAGTCTTGACATTGTTAGCAATTACAAAGTAAACTGAACGGGCTGTCAAATATCACATTGCTGACCTTTTTTTTTATTCATGGACTATTTTAACGTTTACACAATTCCGCCAATATCACGTTCGATGCCTTTACATGCAAAAAGACAATAATAAAAATATGATAATCTTGCAGTAAAAGGTAAAACAAAAAAAAAACTAAATTCGGAAAATTTTTGGTCAGTGTAGGAAATGAACTTTTCTATGTGTTGTGTTCTTACGTTGACTGAGAATCTGAGTAATGTAAAGGCAAAAAAATGTCAGATACAAAGGCCCAATCAGTTTATTTTTTTGACCGCTTTAAACTTACCTGTAAATTCATTACCTGATATATAAAATATAATATTCCTTGACTGACTGAAACCTCTCTTAAGCAATCCAGCAAGAATGTCCTTATTGGGTTATATTAAATCGAGGATTCAAATTAAAACTATACATTTATCTTTTTTTCAGTCTTTGGAAATGCTTCATGTTGGATCCAGCTAAAAAGAAGGAGCCCACTGATTCCAAGGCAGCAAAATCACTTTTGAATCTCAATTCCTTAATTAGATAATTTGAAAACACTTAAATGGAACAAAATGTGTAAAAATAATTGCATACAGAATGTAGATTGATTTTATAATTGATTTACTTCAAGACGTTTTGAGTACATTTAAGTACTTAAAGGGGTTTTTATTCCCAATGTAATAAATGTAGAGACTGCTAGACAAGACGACTGATGTGATAATGTAGAATCTATAGTATTAGACTAATTAACCCGATGGTTTTTGTAAGTTAAAAAGTTAGATATGTTGTTATCTATTCTTTGTACCATCTCTATTGTTTTCATAAAATCTCTGTGACATTTTACCTTTTAATCTAACTATTGTATTGTATCAAATTATTTACTTCAGTATTTCTTTTCAATCAACTAATTTTGACATGATTTTTCAAGATATAAATATTTTTTGTGACACGCGATTTATACTTACATTTTGTACATGTTACGGTTTTCGACAAGCAGCGAAGTTGAGGTCGTAAAATGTAACGCCGCGAAACTTTCTGTATTTCTGTGTTACTAATATTTTCCCTTCCTGCTTTTCGTTTTCTCGCTTCTTTCAATATTTTGTTGAAGACATTTCATTACCTCGGCTTCCTTGTTTTAGTTCTTTATAGGAATTATATTGTGCGATTCGTTTTATTGTGAACTTTCTGCTGTTTTAAGCACGAAATGAATTTTGATTATGTGTATGTCATCGAGTTAAATAAAAATTGACGTTATTGATTTGGCTGGTATTATTTAACAACTCGTTCAGGTAAAATTTAATTATTTTTTAATTATTAGTGTCTAGTACACTAATAGTAATAATGTGGTCGAAATTCGACCATAATAAATTTCAATTAGAAGTTATTTAACATAATTTATTAAAATATAATGTTCAAACATAAAAGACTATAATACTGACGGGACTGAGTATAATATTGTAATGCATTGTACTTAACACTCAATATCACTTATTTTTCCTGTAAGCATGTGAAATTACTGAAATAGAAAATCTTTTGACATTCAGTAAGATCACAGTAAACATCACAAACATAAATAGATGTCTATGGTAAACATATAAAACTTGACACTGGCTAAATGCACAAACCGTGTGAAGTCAATATTGAAAAGAAACAAACAAACTATGTCAAAAGATACAATTTGACCGGAGTATGCGTGTAGCAATTATTTTATTTATCGATTTAATGTACTTTATAGGCATTTTATTGAAAAATATTAGCCGTTTGCATTTCTCCTACATATAAACTATAAGTATGCCAAATTTCATACTCCTCCGTCATCGCGATTTTCGTAAAAAGGTGTCCAAAGTTTTTGCTTCACGTATTAATATAGATACATTCAGATGACAGAATGAAGAATGTTAATAATTTTTTTTTATTAGCACTCCATATTCTCTGTCGAAAATAAAAAATACTAGTGAAAGAATTACTTCGATACGACAATTAGTTTCCGATTACGAAGTAAAACAAGTTGTAACCGCACGACGCGGGCTGCCGGTGACGGTGTGACGTCATTGCACAACACGCACAGTCTGGCTCACTTAGTCCGCTCGCAGTCGCGCGCCCGTGCCGTCGAAATTTTACCTAAATACTTTTAAAAATGTCCAATCTAAATACTAGGAAATCATGTGTTGTGCCTAAATGTAAAAATACAACATATACATGTTTTTTATAGACATCTTTATGATAAATAGACATCTTTTCAACCTCTTTTTTTTCACATATAAAATGTGAAAGAAAACTGTATTTGAAGCTCTCTGCTTAATTTTAATGCTACTTTGTCAAAAAGTTTAATGCTACTTTGTCAAAAAAAAAAAATTCATTCTGACCGGCTAAATGAAGTGTTATACCACTTGTGCCAAAATCTTTAGCTTTAATCATTTTCAGTGTGACACCTGAGAGCTTAGATTTTTGTCAATAACACTTCGTTGAAGGCTCTTCGTTTCGACAATGTAGCCACATTAAAAATTCTACAGTATGTTTACAGCCACCTCTGCTGACGGCACAATCTTCGCAGGTTACATTTAATACTTCTTGATCCTTTTCATTGCATTCTAAACTGCAATGATAACGTGTGGTACGTACGCGGTGTTCTGGCGTAATTCTACATTTAACCGAACGTACATCACCTACTCTTTTAGCTTGAACATAACCAATAGCATCATTGCCATAGATATTTCTTGCCGATCTGAAATGTTTCAAATAAAAATAAATAGCCTTAAGTATTTTGTTAGTAAAAAAATACTAATAAATAAATAAGGTTTAGTATATCTGTTCAAACTTCTATATCTGCAACAAAAAAATTTTTTAATAAAATGGCCTTAAATATTTTGTTAGTAAAAAAATACTAATAAATAAAAAAGGTTTAGTACATCTGTTCAAACTTCTATATTTGCAACAAAAAAATAATTTAATAAAATGGCCTTACGTATTTTGTTAGTAAAAAAAATACAAATAAAAAAAGGTTTAGAACATCTGTAACGTTTAACCCACTACATCTACATCCTAGGTAACTATCCTACTTCCTACTTATATTATAAATGGGAAAGTTTGTGTGTGTGTTTGTTTGTTATCTTTCACGCAAAAACTACTGAATAGATCTGGACCAAGTCTATAATAATAACACATAGGCTACTTTTAATCCTGGAAAAATGTACAGCTCCCGAGGGAATCGTGGGCGAAGCTGCTGGCGGAAGCTAGTTTGCAATAAATCAATGTATGTATTTATTTAAATTTACTAAGAGCGGTACCTATATATACATACGTACCTACCTATAGCTACAAAACTATAATACATATTTGTCTTTAACGTAAAAATTTAATGGTAGGTAGGTACTTCTACTATTTGAGTTGCATTCTTCCATTACGACATTAGTTGCGTATTTTGTTTTGATAAAACAATTTAGAACAGATAAACTATTAAGCATCAGTAGTAGCAAGGAAAGGTTACTTACCTATGCATTTTTATTTCTCTCATTTCGGCGGCAACGAAATTATTATTTGTTAATAAATAATTCGCAACTTTTATTTTATTTTAGGTAGATTATCCGATTGCCCTTTTTCGAATCCTTTGTCTATTTTATTAATCGAATAATATTTAATATTATCAGACTATTAACTTAATACACGGGCGAAAATACTGCGCAAGCTAATACACCTACTACAACCGCTGGAGACTTGATCCTAAGCGGGGCGCGGCGCGTTGTGACATGACGTCACAAGCGGTCACGTGGCTGTTAGCGGGATTCGATATTTTTCGAAACTTTGAATGCATATAATTACTAGGTATTTTTGACTCCAACAAAAACTAGTGTATTTGTATACATAAGGGCTTTATTGAGACAAAATTTCAAGCGATTTGGCATACCTAGTAACATTCTTCATTACAAGTTCGATACAGCAGACGCTTCGGTCACGCACTTGTTCGGCATTAGATTTCCACTAGAAATAACTAATTTTAAACTCTAATTACATTAAAACAACAAATCGATGTAAAAATGTTTTATTTCTCATTAATTATTGCAACAATATGGAATGTATAATACAATAAAGCGATAATTAAAAACAAAACGTGCGTTGAATTGAAACAGTGCATAAGAAGGTACATACTTTTAAAAAATTGTGATGTTTTAATAAAATGTGGAAGAACGTGTGACTAGAAATAAAATGTAATTTTGAAGAACATATTCTTTTTCACTATTCATAAATGCACAAAAGGAACTAAGAAAGCTGCCGTTAAAATAACTTAAAAACTATATTGAACAACTGTTTCAACTTTTCTTTCATTATACTACTATTAAATCAATCCCTCCTAAACATTAAGCATGAACGAAATATTAATACTGTTACAAACCAAGACTATGTAATAAGATAATTAACAATCTGAATGAAACCAAGATCTATATATTTCAAAAAATTATCGTCGCTTTCACTTGTTACATTAATAATATAATTTTATTTACGCAATATTACCAGTGAACATGGTGTCACACACGACTTACTCCTTTAAAATATTTAACAATTCTTCTATTCTAATACTAACAACTAAATGACAGTAAATTCCACCGAAAATCATGAAAGCGGTATCAAAACTACCATTAAGGAAACCAAAAAATTTAAATTAGAAGAAAATTTTACACATTTCATTCGCTGTTCAGCCTAATAAAATCAAATTTACCGCTTTGATGGTATTTCGATTTGCAATTACATTACACACCTGAATCGAAAGTAAATCACACAAAAAAAGTAAGTATATATTTTAAAACACACTGAAACCTCGCATGATTCAGTTAAAACTGCAGAGTCATACTCATTTACACAATCTGAAAACATCCTTTTTATTAAACTTAATCTAATGGGAACACATTTCTAGTCTGATTCAATACTATAACAATGGCTTCACAATTTTAATAATAATTAAAAACTTTAAACACTTCTTCTAAGCTCTCGAGTTATTATTCTTTTTTTTATATGTAGGTCCACGTGATAAATAAGGGCATAATGAAATAAATAATTATGATTTAATCATCCTTATTCATCATATTCTCTCGAAATTATTAATATAATAAGTGATGTTCAAACATTATACGGAGTTCGGGCGGGAAAAACTAAGAGGGACAAAAGTTTGTTCTAGGGAAGAGACGACAAAGGAATTTATATCTATACAGCCCACATAGTCAACAATTTTTGTAGGCCATGTAAAACATCTCCATTTCAATTTGTTCTAGCCCATAGATGACAAGCATTTTAAATAATGCCCGGTCGTTTTGATTATTTCTATAGATTTTTTTCACTTTTCCCTTTTTACATAGGATATTATACAAACTGCGCGGGGTAATTTTTCATAATGCCCTATTAATCAATTGGTCCATAACTATACATGCTTAAAACTAATTTTCTAAATTAAGTATATTATTATCATTTGTATACCTACCTAAATGGCTCACGACTGTGCTTACAAAGAGAACTATTCGATATTTAATAAAAAATAGTGAAGTTATTGAGATTCACGTATACGACTATTGTCTTCAATATTAAGGTACATCTACGGTAAGGTTATTCGAAATCTATTTTAAAATACAAAGTGCAAAATTATGTCCGTAGCTAAATACACCTACTGAAATTTTAATGTTGCACAAAAATAAGTAGACTGCGCAATTTCATGATTAAAATTATTTAAGTAAAATTAATTCTAAAAAAAAATATGTATAAAAAATATATCTTGTGATGCCTAAAAGACGGCTCGATTTTATATCACAGAAGCGAGACTGCGAGCGTTTCGTGAATCGTCCGTCTCCAACATATCTGACATAGCGACAGTATTGGACATCGGTTCAGCTTCTCGCACCAAATGTTCGTGGCTTGTGGTAATTCCAGTGCCGTATTTGAAACTTCTACGTAAACTGGAACGTATACATTTCGCCGAGTCGCTTTTCCTCACGAACGAGCGACGTAGATAATCGCGAGTCAACGACAAAGAATTCCTCGAGTGCGAGGATCTCGGTCTACTAGTTCTGTCTGTTTCGTCTGTGACCGTGATGGATGGAGTGAATACGCCACTGTACTCGGGCGGTTGTGATTCCAATGAAACGTTTCTGTCAACTGTCTCACTCAATGTGATTGGTATTTGTGATGTGTCGTCAGTTTGTGGTTGTGTACGAGCCGTTGAGGTTATCCTGGAAATGTCAATTTTTAAATAAATATCTGACAACATCACAGGC